CTCTCTCTCTCTCTCTCTCTCTCTCTCTCTCTCTCTCTCTCTCTCTCTCTCTCTCTCTCTCACTTTTGCACTCTCTTACTTTCTCTTGACCTTTCTTGGCTTTTCTTTCTCTCTTTCTCTCTTGCTATCTCTTGCTCTATCTTATTTTCTCTTGGCCTTTCTTGCTTTCTTTTGCTCTCTCTTGATTTCTCTTACTCTCCTGCTTTCTCTTGTTCCCTCTCCCTCTTCTCGCTCTCTTTTTCTCATATGACTTACTTTTTTCCGTCCCGGAAGATATTTCATGCATAATCTTTTGCAATTTATTGTTACACGTTTGCAATTCAACAATTGCAATTCAGAAAACAGATTCACTCCCGTAATTAACGGGACAACCGGTCGGCCGGTTAGCGTGCCTGACCTGAGCTCCGATTTGTTAGTTTATGACGAGAAAAAACGAAGACCACGATGGGAGGTTACGTCGGGGTAGTCGAGAATAGCGAAAGTTTCGCCTCAATTGGGTGAACGACGTCGACGCTTTCGCGCGACGCCGGAAATCGAGAGAACGTAGTCCGATATCCTTCGTGTTCCTGTTCGATTTAACTTCGCAGGACAAAGTTGCTCACGTTGTTACGAAACTTTATCAGCGCCGCAACAATAATATTTTTATGTTAGCGCCGGTAACCCCGCGCTTAATTCCGGATGAAACTGCGCGCGACGTCGGAGTTCGCGATAAGAGCGTGCTAAATCGGAGCGCTCAATAAGAGAAAAAGAGAGAAAGAGAGCGAGATGCAGAAATATTTCTTCTTCCTTCTTTTAGTCTGCATTCTCGCGTGGATAACGCTTCGATATTAGCAAAATAAAATTTGCACATATCTCCATCGTGCAGGGCAAACATTTTTTGTCGACGTACACTACGTTCCGTTATGAAAATAACTCCTTTACTTGAAAAGTGAAATTTCTCTCTTGTCCTCATTATTACAGCGCCATCGTGACTTTTCATAAGAATATTTTCGAATCGATGCCGTAACCTGTCTGCTCCGTTTCCAAAGTCAACGCTCAGTCGTCTATATATCCCGAGCATAAAGATCGATACATTGTTTGCTCTCCGAAAAACTCGGTTTCCAAATCTCCGTGTAAATATGCTTTCGTTCCGCTGACTTTCAACCCTCCGACTCGTCTGTCCATTTATTCGCGGAATTCGAACGCCGCGTGTGTACCTTACAACGGGCTGCACGACGAATGTTGTTGCACGAAAGAATTAGTCGATCATGTTCGACGTTTCGACGGCTTCACGGTGAACCGACCTTTCGTCATTCTTCGTGCAAATGGTTCCCCGCGGGTGCGAATGTTATCTGGTTAGAAGGGGAGCTTCTACGGTGTTTGCATAGCCAAAAAAAAAATAGGAAAACTTGATTATTGATAACTTCATCCATTTCTTTGAAAAAAGTTCATAAAAGCTCACTATTTTTTCGGTCTACCTAGATCAGAACTTTCCTCTAAATTGCATATTATCGAGCATAATTACGCATTACTAATTATACACGATCGTACACATAGCTGTAGGCACATAATTAAACAGTATTATACGTGTATAGCTTAGTATGTTGACAAATTAATACATGGAATAATTGATTTACACGTATCGACAGTACCAAGGCGCAATATCGTGTAATTACCAAACTGGAATCACATTCGACAAAATAGTTTTTTTTTGTAATTTTCATCCCTTCTCAAAAGCTGTACTTTGTTTCTCAATTAATGGAATATAAATTGCGCGAAATGTGTTGAGTAAATACAGAACAACTTAAATGGAAGTCATTCGCGACATGTTTTTCGGGGCATAATGTGAACAAAACGTTTCGGGAAATGATGTATTAGAAATAGCCGAAAATACAATGTTGCGGGGTGATCGCAAGTCGACGATACGTTACAAACATAAGATGTAAAACAATGGAAATTTCGCGCTCGGCGCATACGAGGGAGATTCGTACAAGCTTTGCTCACACCCAGAAAGAAGAAATCTAACAGCAAGATGCTATTTTGTGTAACTCTATATTCTAAGTGAAGACTTTTATCAAAAAAGTTTTTTCTCTTTTAATGAGAAGTGGATTATTATAATTAGAAATATGTTAAATATTATTTTATTATTCTAATTCTTATTTGTTTCTTCTTTGTTTTCTTTTAAATCTTTTAAATATACATTTACTTGAAGCAGAATGTCATTTTATATGCAATTTAGCGATAAGCAAGTCTTTTCCCGAGTCAATATTTCGTATGTGTTGAGCCTATTTTCGACTTCAACGCTCCATTTAACACATCTGCTTTGATATTCTACAGATTATATCCAATCTCTTTTGATTCCATTTAATGTCGCGCGTTTTCTATCTTCGGAGGCGCCAAGTGGAACTTCATTTTTCATGTGTATTAAACATATATAATCATTCAGAACATACTGATGTTAGAAAGCTCAGGTCATTAGTAGACCTAAAATTTCAACTCGAGTTGTACTGTAGATAAAAGACGAAATTCCACCAACTTTTTAAGAGAATATTGTGCTTAGAATCTCTCTCTTTTGGTGTTAAAAGAATCCTCTTGAAGCCATGTATAAGAGTAAAAGCCTCTAGGATTCAGAGGATTCCACTAAAGATGAGATTATATTTTTCGAGGAGTGGGAAGGAGGAGGTAGGGTAAGGATGCAGCGGCGACTTCGCAACACTTTTGCGACAGCCGCGACTCGCTGGGAACTTTAGGGTGTCGCGTCATGAAAGATTCAGCGCGTCGGGGAGAGGTTCCGCGATACTGAAGCCCGTTATGTTTTTTTCTGGTGTTACAGACATGCATTGGCTCGTTTGCACCTGCATCCTCACGGCGACGACGGTGCTCTGCTGCCGGCAGAGCGAGTTTCAGTGCGCCAACGGCCACTGCGTCACCCTCAACAAAGTCTGCAACGCGTTCGACGACTGCGGGGACGGGAGCGACGAGACGCGTCCATGCTCGCGTGAGTGAAACTTTTGCCCCGACGGGGCTCCCTATACCCTATACCGCTACCCTGCGCGTTTTACCGGGGCTGCTGGAAGCTCAAGAGGCTTTCAGCGCGCCGATAAATGCATATCCACTTGACGAGCTAACGCAGTCGCGGGTAACCGCGACTGGCTGGGCGCGGCGCGAGGGAGCTCGAGGACACACAGAGGCCGAGATCGTCGAGAAATGAAACCCGGTAGCGAAGGATTAAGTCCCCGACTTCTGCAATCTCGTTCCGTGTAATATCTGTCTCTCCCTCTCTCGAAAATACGCCGAGAATAATACAGAGCCCCGAGCCGCGCAGAGATAACTCCAACGGGCGGCGAGGGGCCGAAAGCGCGACGAGAGAAAGAGAGAGTTTGACGAGCTCTCTCCGATTCAGATAAATAAAGTTGCCACATATAAAGCGCTTATATTGTTTCCCAGAGCCTTTGTGCGGCGCGATGACCGCGGCTAGCGTGTTAGGATCCGCACAATGAAGCAACGTTGATGGTAACCGTATATTCTCGCAAATCGGCTGTTTTCCGTCGCGAACTAACATGTCTGAGCTGGAGAGACGAACACTTCGCCCTCGACAGCTCCGGTAGTCGCCAACGTTTCGCTCCCAATTCCCGTCATTGGCGCTCTTTAACGCTGGGCGATTGATCCCCTCATTGTTACTCGGCGAGGCGGCTTCAAAACGTGCCCGGCCGCGATGTGCGATCACCGGGCAAAGGCCGGCCGGGCGCTGGAATTTTCACTTCGTTAGAAACGTCGACTCCTGCTTTCTTCTTGCTCGCACGAACGAGTCGCAGCGCACGACGCGATTCCAGCCAGGTAGCGTGTAAAGGCGGAATGAAATTCCAGCGACGTTACGAGAGAGTGATATTACGATCGTGGCAGACAGAAAGAAGAGCAAAACGTCAAAAGAGAGGAGAGGAGAGACACTGCCGCGCTCGCGAGAGAACGGCTTCATCGAAAGTTTCGCGCGCGTTAAACCACGAAATTGCGGACGTCACAAATAATTCGAATATCGCGCGCGCGTACGAAACGCATAAAGTGCGGAATCGAGCGTGATTGTTACTCGAAACTTTAATAACGAGAGTGACCAGATGAAAGATGCAAATCGCGCTTTTATGTAAAAACATAAAAGCCCCTTTATATATAAAAAAAATAGTTTATTCATAGCCTCGTAACACGTTGCGCGCAAAATGACATTTACGTCGGCGATTTAATATTCGTTGCGAGCGTTTCCGCCTAGATAGCTCCGCACGATGAAATCATAGCCCATTAACGATCGCGAATATCGCTACACGCAGAAAAATGCATACTGTATTCAAGTAATTGTTACTTATTTCATGTGTTTTATGTAAGTTCAACTAAGAATAGTGAATTAACTCTCCGAGTGGCAACCACGGTTATATTTTTTCTCAGTCCATTCTAAGAAATGCTTATATCTCGCAGCATTTTTATTTAATACGCATTAAAAATAAAATGTTTAGCAATTTATTTTTTACGAAAAAGCTATGATCTTCGACTAGAATGGTTAGGGAAATTTCAATAATTTTCGGAGATCTTCTCGAACAGCCCAAGGGAGAGAAGTCGAGGAAGACAATAATAACCCTGGTTGCCACCCCAAAGGTAGCGAAAATACGTTTTCACACGGGGGATTGGAATAATAATTCGATTTACTTACTACGCAGATTCGAGCCAACTTTTTCTCCGATAGCTTCAATATTCTCTTGTAAAGAAAACAAATTCTTCTGTTGACTATAACCGTTAACGACAATCCAACTTTTCAAATTTATGACAGGTACATTTTAAGGCTGTTGTCAAGAAAATATTCTTTATTGAAGATAACCATTTAAAGGAAAGAAAATAAACTGAGCGATCGCTTTTCTCAGCAGCAGAATGATGTCCTTCTGTATGTACAGCGCACAAACGTTATATTTTTCTGCTCGTTTCTGCTCGTGGCACCGCGAACGCTCGAAATCGCGACGATCTGGGGATGCGAGGGAATCCGAAGTGGATCACGTTTGTCAAAATTAACAATGACGAAGGGACGTTTTGTGGGTTCTCTCTCCGTCGTCGAGAAGTGACACGGCGTCGATAAATATTCTGCCCGACCACCGGCCTTTTGCCACCTTGCGACGAGCGAGTCGGGGGAATCAGAAAAAAAGAAAAATCCCAAAAAATAAAACGGAAAACATGCGAATAGAGATAAATCGGAACGGAACGAAATGTTTCAATTGTCACACCGCGCGGGGCGCGGTGTTCTGCGCGTTCAGACGAAATTGACTGCAGCGTGCCGAAGACCGCGCGTGCGGACGATTTGCAGCAGCGATATTTGTATTTGCGGATACTTCGCGACGGTTTCGTGCGACATTAAGTCGAGGCTTTCGCGTCGAACGATTTCCCGTTGAACGATTTCGCGTTACGGTCCGTTACAGCGGCTGCATAGACGTGCACGCCGTCACATACCGCGCAAAATAAAATCCACGGGATTAACGGTACTGCCAATTTGCGAAAAAAAATTGCTCGACGTGGTGGTTTATCGTCGCGGTAAAAATCGATCACGCCATCGCAGCGGCGGCGGCAGCAGCGAGTGAAGCGCAGCAGCCACTTCATTTCGCGAGAATCCACGACGTGCCCGACGAGATGATCCTATACGTAAGAGACAGGGGACGCACCCCCTTAGTCAAGCTGCCTGTTATCGACAGATCGTGATAAAATAGAGCAGTTCGAGCGGCCGATTCGCCAGCAAAAAAGCGGCCCGTCGTTCCCCTCGCTCTCGCACGTACGTGTCCACCTTTTCTCCGACGTCATCTAATTTCGCGCGATTTATTTCGCCACATCCATTTACGGATGCCGGCTGCCAGGCCAAATTTGCCCTCGCGTCCTACATTTTGTGACAGCTTTCGTAACATAAACGTTGTTGGGGCGTCCAGCTGAAGTAAGTCGCCGTGAAGATACGCCGTTTCCAAGCCACCCGCGTGTCTCTCAACTGTTCCTGGCTCAGATAGCAGAACATTGTGCTATCGATCCGATTTCGAACACATCCCTTGCGCTAATGGAAAATCTTGATTTCGAAGGTTCAGTTCATGGACGTAGTATACATAGATTCCGAACGCCCTTCATTCTGTCGTTTAATTGAGTGAAGCCAACATCTAGAAAGAGAGCGAAAATAGAGAGGCTATAGTTTTCTATCTATTTTATCACTTTTTTGTTGTGTGGGCATCCATTTCTCATTTCCATAATAGTATAGAGCGCAACAGCACCCCGACTGGATGAACAAGTAAAAGTCTTACTTAAATCTTTTTGTAAACTTTGTGCAGAAAGAGACAGAGAACAGAGGGACTGATGTATATGTTGGCTTCACTTTTCTGACTGTATGCGGAGTCTATGTATATTATGTCTATGTTTCAATCGGCTGATTAAAGGTCGCGACACTTTCCCTTGATGAGTTTCACGACGCATTTTGTATGGAAGGTGTATCTTATGAGAGTTGCTGAAAAACAAATTTTCCTAATGGATATTCTCTCCTACGGATGTGTGCGGGATTGATGAAAAAATAAATCGCCTTCAAACAATTGAGTCAATCATATATCATCTTTTTTTTATTATTTATCTCCCTACAGTTATATAATTAGTTATCCACCTAATTTGTCCTTTTCACACTGACTTCTAATATCGTTAAAATGTCAGAATATACAAGAATATTAATCCGAATTTATTTTATGCTTCTTAGGATTTCTGAAGTTTCTGAAGGCGGTTTAATATTTTTTAAAGTTTTTATCTCACATATCTTTTAATTATTGTTAAAAGGTTGTTTTTGAAGTCGATTACAAGATTTTTCATTTTTTAAATAAAAGTTCTGTATTATATCCGTAGGTGGCTTCGAATTTCAAGTTTCAAGATTTTCAAAAAAGTAAGGAAATTACCCAATCTCCAGGTCACCTGGACACTAATCTAAGAACCATATAGATAATACACATGTAGATACCGAACAAGTTACAAAGTTTCGTCTCAATACTTTCAAATCCCCAAGCTATAAGGAAACTTACAAACAAACACACAATGAAAAGCTCCTTTTCATTACACACAAACAGATAATGAAAAGCTCCTTTTCTCAGAGTCATTCAAAATTGCTGCAATCTTCAACCAACCGACTGTAGCCCGGCGTTGACGCGATCTGCTATGAGTCTCGGAAGTAATCGGTGTCCAATTAAATTCGCCCACCGCCGTTGCCGTCACCGTCGCGTAATTTATCGTGTGCACAGAACTCATCCGACTGTCAATTGCGACTTAAGCGCAGGCGTACACGCCATCCCGGCGAGAAGGATCCCTCCGGAATAAATTCCCCGACCGGAGCTTTTCGCCCCTAAGAATACAACCAACCGGATCCTCTAGCCACGTGACGCGCGCGCGCACGCACGCCGGCGAACACTCGCCAAAATACACGACGGCCGTTTCCATGGCTGCCAGAATTTAGTGAATACCCCGGCGAGACCATCAGCGACGTCGTTTAATCTGCCGAGGGTTCCCGCCTAACCCGGCGCGTGCAGGGACCGGCTGTGGCCCCTTTCGTTCCCTCGCCCTCCTCGCGCTTACCAGCCGCCACCGCACCCTTCACCCCTACCTTTAGTCTTGGCGCGGCACCACGAGCAAAAGCAACCGACCAACCGACCCGGCACCAAAGCCCACCCCGGCGTGTGTGCCTGGCGTAATTAACCCAAGTTACGAGATACGTTTATACACAGCGCGTACACGGCGCTGCGCGGCGCGACGCAGCCAGGAAATTACTTCTGGCAGCGTGGACAACCCCTTTATCCGCGCGAGCGACAATGGACTTTTTACCGCGAACACAGAATGGAAATGTTTCTGATTTCGCTCGCGTCGCTGAGCCCTTCAAAACGCCTCGTTGATCGAGATTAGAGGCTCCTCACGCGACCTTGTATGTCTTCACGGTCGCGGTGGAATAATCGCGAAGAGGGACTGAAGCGCCCGCGCATGCCTAAGAGAGAGAGGGAGAGAAAGAACTGTCGATGGAATCGGGGGAATTTGTTTGCCTGAACTGCGTTTAGAATATTCATTCTGCGTAAAAATCTCCCTTGTCAGGCGAATGTTGTTCCATAAAGATTTTCATTGACTACTTTAATCTCAATTAAGCTTTGAATATTCGGAAACACGATAAGAAAATGTAATTCATGAGGCATATCTATTAGCTCGTGTCATTGGCTCGCTATTAGTCGCATGTTGAATCTGTTATATGCAATCAATTATATCTTACATGTAATTTAATGAGACGAGGCGATGTTATAATGCCCGTTTCCAGTGTTTCTCATTAAGTCTCATTAAGTAACCCACAGTCTGATTAATTGCATTTGAAAATTGTATTGCGCGGTTAATAGAGAGCTAATGGGGCGAGATTAAAGATATATATTGTACATCTCGACTTATTTACGACTTATTTCCCAGACAACACAATCTACTGAAAGATGTCTTAAGGACGTCCAAAAAATGTCCTATTTCTTTTAGACGTCTTTTGAACGTCTCTAAGACATATTTTAGTAATATGTACTGTCTTTGGTAAATAAATCTACAGCTTTTGTAGGGTCAAAGAACATCAACATAAATGAAATAACATCACGCAAATGATGCCGACATCCTTTGTGCGAAAGGAGACACGCAATTCCTTCAATGTGTAAGATTGCGTGTGTTGCGTTTTTCACATTATGATATTACACGTATGATATTACGTCGTGTTCGTCACGTATCCTAAAAAATCAAGAGTGTGCGATATTTGTCTCGCGCAGCGCGAGTATTAAATCGTATCGCTCGCTTTAATTATCGCTGGCTTTAATTGACGTATATATGCAGTAACATTATATGCACCGCCGCTGCAGGCTCTGGTACCTTATAAACAAGTTATAAAGACACCATTAGCCCGCGCACCGAGTAATTAACCTAAATTACGACCTATACCCTAGGAACCAGGCGCAATACGTAAATGCGCTCGTTGCTGTAGGAGCATTCGACTGCAAGAAGCGGATTCTCTTAGCTGACAAAGTATACATATATACTGGACGGCATCGCGTGGAATTGAGATATACACACTTTCACTGGGAAAAAAAACAATTGGATTGACAAAACCGACGATCATTCGACTTCAAGGAAATATTGTATTTGTTGAACAAATTATGCGTTAGTGCAACAATAAGTTGCGTTAACACTAGATTTACGAGATAATTTGACAGTGAATTTGACGGATATCCGAAGAAATGGGTATACGACATAAGGAATTTCAAAATTAAAAGTCTGAGAAGTAAATGAATAATTTGAATATACATTCGTATCATTCCATTAATAAAAGTCAACAAAACTTGCTACAAAATAATAATAACAGTTTCTGTTATTTTACTCGTGAAATCCGAAATCCGTCAAATCGACGGGTCCCGTAAAGTGTTAATATAATTATTGATCGCATTGATTCAGTGGCGTAGCCAGAAAAAAGTTTCGGGGGGGCTGTACTTTTTATTTTTGACGGGCAAAAAAAGGTCATTCGAAAAATTTTTCTCACACTTAGCGTAACCCAGAAAATTAATTTTGAAGGCTCCCTCAGCCCCTCCCTGGCTACGTCATTGCATTGAATCAATTGATATTGATAACTCGTCGCAACACTGGTACAATTCGTTCGACCAAATAATGTTTGCTTGAACGAGTTTTGTGCGTTCAAATAAAGTCTTATTAACTCAACCACTTTTTCTCAATGTATACGCATATATATATATATATATATATATATATATATATATATATATATATATATATATAAAATCAGATACAGCGCGCATAACTCCAAGTCTCCGATCGAGTAATACTTCCGCCGGAATAACGCGTATAAGGTTACGTGTAAGGAGGAGTTTATCACCCGACGGTATCAAGACACGAGCGACATGTTGCAGTCACGTACATCCATAAGGTACGAGTACGTAAACAAAGTCGCGTAGCTCTCGTGTCATGCTGAGGTCGGACGGCGGGAGATGTGGGAAGATGTTTGAAATCGTATACGTATGAAAGAGAGAATTACACACTTGTCACATAAACATCGTTTTATTGTCCGAAATCAACGCGTGTGACAGCATGAGTAACAGAAAATAATATCTCTTTGACATATATAATCCGATAATCTTAAATATACATAATATGTCAATTATTATCATAATTTGTTGAACTTTAAATTTGTTATGATGCATCCAGTCGGTTTTCAACATCGACACAAGTTGCGTAACGTATATATATATATATATATATATATATATATATATATATATATATATATATATA